AGAGAGAGAGAGAGAGAGAGAGAGAGAGAGAGAGAGAGAGAGAGAGAGAGAGAGAGAGAGAGAGAGAGATGGAGGAAGTCAACACCCCCCATCCATCTGCATGGGAGGAACGTGTTTCTTCTCCCCCTCGGCTCTCTTGTCCCCCTCCCCACTGCAAGCTTGACAGGCATGAGGGGAAGCAGTCAAAGAGGAAGGATTGCAACTCCCCTCCACTGCACAAAGAACTGCTGGTGGGGGCCTCCTCATCTCTCCCCCAGGGTTCCCCTATGCCTCCAGCTCATCCTGGCCAAGGAGCCTTTTTTTCATGGATAGCCCCATATGCCCTTTTCCTTCTCCCCCTCCCCTCCAGCCCTTCCTGGACAGAAATCCCCCATTTCTCCACAATTGCCCAATTCCTGCTCTGGGCTCCATCACCGTTTCTCTCTCCTACCTCGGAGCTGATGGGCCAGAGAGGCTGAGCTGAGCCGGATCTTCCCCTGCAGAGCAACCCATCAGAGGAAGCCCAGGATCCCCACACGACCACCTTGGAAACACTCTGACGGATTAATTCCCCACCTCCAACAATCCTGCTGGTCTTGGTTCTCGGGTATATCCGAAGCCCAGACTATTGTGCCTTAAATAGCAGCAATAATCGGCAACAATCACACTCACCCCTGACGTTTGCGGCGCCAACAGTGATTGCCTCTCGTCGTCTGTATCGTGCACGGGAGAAGAAGGAGCGCTTTGCGAAGGAGTCGGATCATGGCAGGGTGCCACTTCCTCATAGAGATTATTTCCAGATCTCTTACACGGGCCTGACAGATGGCAAAAAGAGAAGACAGTTCGCTTATTTGGGGGGGGGGAGCAGCTCCTGCTTGAGCTGGAGAAGGATTTATCCTGAAGACCTCCGTAGGAACCTGCATTGAACCGCCATCAATTACTTTACAACAAAGATGCCAAACGTCTGGCAATCTAGTTGTTGGTACAGGAGAGACGGTGTTTCCCCACAGACTCTGGGCTCAGAAGTTCTTAATTCAACTGTCACAACTTTTGTGGCCTAATCTTAAGCTAGCCAGATCTAAGAACTAGCAACCTTTGGCTGATCTTGAAAGGCTAAACTGGGTCTGGCTGGGTCAGAGAATCACAAGTCAATCGGAAGAGAGACCCGTCCTGGAAGAAGGAAGTGGCAAAGCACTTCCAATTCCTCGCTGAGAAAATGACAAGGAAGTGCTGAGATGCACAGGGTGAAACTCAATTGAGGAGACACGTCCTGCCTCCTTCCTCCCTCTTGTGTCTCTTGCTCTGAGTAGGAGCAGAAGAAGCAGCAGGAGCTTCCCCGCTGGACCTTCCTCCCTGCTCTTGCCTGTCCCCAGGTGGGATTGCAAGCAGGGGCAGAGGGCATGGGGCCCCTCCCTCCATGGACCTCCCCTCCCATCGGAGCTTCCCTTTGCCAGGGGACATGGTAAATAGATCTCCTTCAGGGACAGGATTATGGAATTTCCAGCACTTCCCAGATCATTTAAAGCAAGGCTTTTCAACCTTTTCACCCATTGTACCACTTTTAGGATATGGCAATATCCGAGTACCACCAGTCGCCTAGCAAGGTGTCAAAAACTTGATGACCCATAAAAAAAGGAAAAAAGTGATGAAGTACAGGTAGTCTCCAACTTACAACAGTTCGCTTAGTCACTGTTCGAAGTTACAATGGCACTGAAAAAAGTGCCCTCCAAGCCAGAGCCGAGCAAGACACCTGCCTGCCCACCCCGCGGCGCTCTTCCTCCTGTCCGAGGTTTTCATTGTTGTGAGCATTTCTGTTGAGGATTGGCAGCAGGGGTGGGGTGGGGGAGGCATTTGGTTTTTATTCCCCCCCCCCTGTCTGCTGGGTGGTTGCAGCAGGTTTTGGTCACTTCACATGACCCTGGGACACTGTGACCGTCATAAATATGAATCAGTTGCCAAGCATCTGATCGAGATGCTGATGGAGATGCTGCAACATTCCAGCTGATCGGCGCTTCTTCTGGACTCAGCAGAAGTGCCAGGATCAGCGCCGAGCTCCAGCTGGATCCTGGCGCGGATCCTGGCACTTCCACTGAACCCTGATAGCCCTGCAGCTCTAGCCGTCTCTCGCTCAGGCTTGTGCGGTGCTGCCACCTGTTCAGCTCATTCCCCTCCCCCGCTACCACTTTTCTAGGATGGTCACATACCACCTGCCAGGTGCCAATGTACCACAGGTGGTACCCATATCACTGGTTGAAAAGGCTTGGTTTAAAGGACTTTTCCTGGACTCCTGAGCTGCTGCTATTTGCTCCTCTGAAGCAAGTCCATTCAGGCCAAAGTGTTTTCCTCCCAGACAAGAGGAATGTGGGATTTATAGGAAGTGGAAAAATGGCTGCCTATCTTCTTCCTTCCTTCCTGACCCCTGTTCAAAACACTGTTTGTGGAAGAGGGTCTTGTGAGGGTCCTGTCTGCAATTCTCAGGGAGGCTCTCTCCCATCCACCCCAGCTCAGTCAACCCAGAAAGAGACAGGAGGGTGTTTCACTTACGTTTTGGGAAGAAAATTACGAGTACCAAGATTATCAAAGACAAGGCTGCTACCGGAACGGCAATTTCCACAGGAGTCTGCCACTCTGTGGTTAAAGAAGGAGAAACACGGTTCTGATTAGAGTTCCCTGAAGTAGAGATGCTGAGCAATGGAAGCATTTCCCAACCTCCATTGGCCTCCAGGAAGTGCCCCCACCTGAAGGAAGCCCCTCCCCTCCAAGGCTGAAGAGGGCAGAGCGAATGGCCTTGAAGGGCAGAAGGAAAAACCACCACCCATCGTCTCCTCTATCACGTCATCTATCATCTATCATCATATCTTCATGTCTGTTGCTATTGCATTACCATTTCCAGCTGATTTTGTGCTTCTCTCCCAGGGCTAAAGGCAGAACTACATTTCCTGCATTTCCTAACATGGGATGTTGCAGAAGAAAATTACCCCACTACCACTGATTTTCACACATTTGTGTAAAATCTAACTTCTAATGCCAGATCCTCCCAGCCTCTCACCTATTTCCTCCTTTTCAAAACCCAAGATCAGGGGCTCCTGCAGGCCCTGGTGCTCCAGGCGACACCGAAAATGGTCCCTGTCCTTGGGGTCGATCTTGATGCCGAGCCAGACATAATAGGTCCCGTCCGAGTTGGGGGCTATGTTCCTAGAGAGGGTCCCATACTCGCAGACCTCTCCGTCCCTGGTCCAGGTGGCCTGGATCTCCTTGGGGTAGAAGCCAAAGGCCTGGCAGATGAGGACCTCCAGGCTGACATCCACCACCTTGCGAGTCAGGTTCCCCTCTGGGGGTTCTGCAGAAGCAACAACACCAGATTTCCAAGGATTTCAAGAGTCTCTAGCAAGATGATTTAAACAACAAGACTTCATTTGATCATCCTCTCCCACCGCTCCCTCTCCTTGCCTCAACCTGGGGGAGCCCCTAAAATGGGGCATTGGGGTTCTTTAGATTAAGCTTTGAAAGGGATACATAGAATTTGGGGTAATGTTCTCACATTGGCCAATGTATTCCCCAATTTGGCGGATTGATTCAATTTTAGACCCCCAAATTGAATTTGCTCAAATTTGTTCGGATGGAAATTAGGAACAGACTGACCATTTCCTTCTGACCCAAACACAGGACATTGATTTTCTTCTGCTTTGCAAAACTTTCCCCGGGGAAATAGAATGAGACCTTCGGCATGAATTTCTTACTCAGTTTCCTTTAAAAAAAAAAAATACTTATTTTGTGGTGCACTGAAGATTATTTCCCTTCTGTAATGGGATGGGGCAGGGGTAGGCAACCTTGGCTCTTTTGTGACTCATGGACTTCAACTCCCAGAGTTCCTGAGCCAGCATAGCTCAGCTTGGAAACCTCTCCCTTTCCCCTCAGCGTGGCTGGCTCAGGAATTCTGGGAGTTGAAGTCCACGAGTCATAAAAGAGCCAAGGTTGACGACCCCTGGGATGGGGGATTCTTCCTGACCTTTTTCTGTCAATATTTAAAAAGGGGCTTGGCTGTTTAGGAGAGAAACCATATGGGGAGGGGGGAGCACACAGAAACATGCTCAATGGAGACCCCCTTTTGCCACTCACCGATCCTCTGTAGAGTCTTATTCCTGTAGGACAGGTATCTCTGCAGCCACTCAATGCAGGTCTCCTCCAGGAAGAATTTGTTTCTCTCAGACCATCCTGGGTCATTCTCCCATTTCCGCTTGAGCTTCCGGGCCTGGGGCTGAGCTGGCACCCAAGTGAGGGTCTCCTTGTCGAAGCTGATGAAGTCCATCCCATCGTAGCCATAGCGGAAAAACCCTCCTTTGCTCCCATCGACCATGAGCTCGCAGCCCAAAACCACCTGCCAGGTGTGAAGCCCTAAAGGAGACCCAGAGGGGGTGGGTGTGAATGAAAAGGGTCCATTTTTAAACAGCCTTAGAGTCTTCCCCCCTTCCCTCTAGGGCAGACATGTCAAACACAAGGCCCGGGGGCCGGATGCGGCCCGCGAAGTGGTTTCATGTGGCCTGCGAAGCCATCCTAGAAACAGTGAGGGAACGGACCCCGCTGCCTTGGCCCTGGCCCAGGCCAGCCGGGAGCCAATGCACAATTTTGTGGTGGCCATCTATGCTGAAACGCATTCAGTCTTAGCTCCACAAGGTTGTCTGGAAACAGCGAGGAACCAGCCCCTGCTGTGTTGGCCCCGCCCCCTGAGTGCATGCTGGGGAGGTGTCACCCTTTGTGAGGAATGAAGAAATGGACCATGCCTTGGCGCTTGCCCCGGTCCCACCCCCTTCTGCCAGAGACCCTCAGATCTGTCCCACTCCTGCCCAGGCCCCCAGAGGCACCCTTGACGTGAATGATGTAGAGCTGGCCATGCCCACCCAGTAGGCCACACCCACTCCATCCATGTCCACCCAGTAGGCTGCACCCACCCTGGCCACACCTACCTGGTCCCCCAAGGGCAATGGCAATGCTGATGCGGCCCTCAATGAAATTGAGTTTGGCACCCCTGCTCTAGGGGAAAGAAATCAGATTTCTC